TTCCTTCCTTCCTTCCTTCCTTCCTTCCTTCCTTCCTTCCTTCCTTCCTTCCTTCCTTCCTTCCAAAAAAGAAGGTTTTTAAAAAGAGACCAGACCACCATTTGTCTGAAATGGTCCAGGGTCTCCTCTCCTTCTTGAGCAGGGGCTGGACTAGAAGACCTCCAAGGTCCCTTCCAACTCCAATGTCCTAATGTTCTGCTTCTTCTACATTCGGTGGAAACCCCGGTTTTTCTTCTGAAACTTTAGCTGCTTCGGGCTGATTTTTAGCATTCCTCTAGGTGGCTAGTCCTCATGAATCTCTCTCTCTTATTTTTTTTTCTTTCCCAACCCACGGGGGGGGGGGAATTTTGAAGCCACGTTGCCTTTTTCATCCGAGTGGCACTGCCCTCTTTAAATGGGGGGGAGGGGGCAGCGGCGAGGGGGTCGTGATACCTTGGAAAGGATGATGGGGGCCTTTAACCATTTCAAGCTTTAAAAAAAAGACAGCGGTGAAAATCCACTTAATTTTGTTCCTTCCCCTTTTCTCCCCCCCCCCCAACCCATTTACCCACCTTTGGCGTTTCTTCCCCAGCGAGACAAATTTTTGTCCGTTTGACTGCCAGCCCGTTTTAGAAAATCCACTCCGTTTATTTGACACGCAAAAATCGCACGCAACACAATATTCAGGGGGGGGGGGGTTTGCTGCGACCTTCCGCCCCACCAAGGAGACCACATCAGCGGTCATAGTCAATGATTATCCCCCCCTCCCTCCGTCCCCCACCGCAGATCCAGAGGGTTTCCTCTCCCCCCGCCCCCCCGCTCCGTTTTTGCAAGGGGGGGCAAGCTTCCCCTGCCTTCTGCGCAGCCCCCACCCTCCTCCAGCGGGCCCGGCTTGGGATGGCCGCAGGGAGCCCCTTCCCTCTATTTCCTGCACAAATTGAACTGGGCTGGGGGCGGGGGGCGGGATGAAGAGATATTTTACAAAAAAGTTTTTAAAAGTTCGTAGTGGATCCGTGATGGGACCCCAGATGCAACAGAAGCTGGGGGGGGGGGGAATCTGGTTTCTTCCGAAGCCGTGAGGACTAGAAACTTAACTCGCCAATGACTCCCGAGCAAAGGAAGTTGGGGAGTGGGAGTGGGGGAGAAATCCGGTTTCTTCCGAAGTCATGAGGACTAGAAACTTAACTCGCCAATGACTCCCGATGCAAAGGAAGCTTGGGGAGGGAGTGGGGGAGAAATCCGATTTCTTCCGAAGTCATGAGGACTAGAAACTAAACTCGCCAATGACTCCCGATGCAAAAGAAGCTGCGGGGGGGGGGAGTGGGGGAGAAATCCGGTTTCTTCCGAAGCCATAAGGACTAGAAACAGCTCGCCAATGACTCCAGATGCAAAAGAAGATGTAGGGAGGGGAGGGAATCCGATTTCTTCCGAAGCCATGAGGACTAGACACTTAACTCCCCCTGGTTGGAGGAACAACCAGCGCTGGGGGCGGGGGCGGAAAGACCCCTGTCCCTGGCACACAAATTCGTCTCGGGTTTTAACTTTTATCCCCCCCCCCGCCCCCACGTTTGAGAAAGCACCAACTCCTCCCTCCCCACCCCCCAGGTCAGGAAAGTCGCTCCAGATCTCCAGCAGCACCGGGTCGCACGCCAGGGGGCGCCAAGTTGCGATGGGAGGGGGCTTCCGCGGCCCCCACCCCCAAAAAAGTCTCTTTACTCCAGCAACCAAGTTCCGAGTCGGTTTGGGGGCTCTCACCCCCAGCCTGGGAGGGGTGGAAGGGGTGGAAAGCCAGCCTTGGGCGCCCCTCCAGCTGGGTCTCTGCATCCTGGCAGGCTGGCATATCCCAGAGGTGGCAAAAGGGAGGGGTGGCATTTGCCCCGCGGGTGAGCAGAGGGGCCCTCTATTTTTTTGGTCCTTGTGCCCACCTCTGGCACCGGAGCAGGGCCATTCACCACCACCCCTCCTTCCCCGGTGCTGGGGCGCGTAGTTCACACACTGGTCCGGCAGGTGGCCGGTTGGCAAGGCCGGGAGGAGGAAGAGGAGGAGGTGGGGGCGGTTTTCTCGGACGTGTTGATCACCCACCGGTAACACTGGGTGACGCTCCTGCTTTTGACCTGAGCACCGCATCGGGTACAATAGACGATGCCCAGCGCCAGCATGATCACCAGGAAGACGGAAATGGGCACCAGTAAAGCCACCAAAAGCCAGCGGTCATCCTTCCTCGGCCGTCCCTCCCCAGAGGCCGGGCTGGGGGCGGCAGAGGTGGGCAGGAGAGGCGCCCGGACTCCCCCAACGACGGGGTCCTCCGCCTTCTCATCCGAGGGAGGGGTGGTGAGGGGCTCCGCCGGCACCTCCGAGGTGGGCAGGAGGGTCCCCGTGACGCCCAGAGGCAGGGACCCCACGTCGGACGTCGCAGGAGGAGGATCGGAAGCCTCGGGGGTGGAATGGAGGACCTCGGGGTGCCCCGGCGAGGAGAAACTCTGCTCCAAGGGAGAAACGCGCGAGTCCCAGGCGCTGTCAAACTCGGGGGCGGCCGTCGCTGGCACCGGAGGAGGGAAAACCAGCCTGTCGGGCACCGACAAGAAAGACGCGGCGGAATCCGACGACGAGCCGGCCTCCCCGTCGCGGAAGAGCGAGAAACGGACGGGGGGCTCGCTGAGGTCGTCGGCTTCCCTGGTGGTGAAGCGGATGTGGAAAGGGTCGTGCCAGGCCTCGGGCGGGGTGGCATCGGGCCCGTCCAGGGCATCCACGGGGCTGCAGCTGATGCCGTCGGCTTCCAGGTCAAATCCCTCGGTGCAGTAACACTCAAAGCCGCCCACGTAGTTCACGCACATCTGCTGGCACACGCCGGGGATCTGGCACTCGTCGGTGTCCACGCACTGCCCGGGTTCCTCCTCGGAGGGGCTGAAGCCCAGGTGGCACCGGCAGAGGAAGGAGCCCTCCGTGTTCTCGCACTGGTGTTCGCAGGGGGCATCCAGGCACTCGTCCAAGTCCTCGCACTGGTGCCCGTCGGAAGCCAGCTCGTACCCAGCTGGGCACCGGCAGCTGTAGCCGTCCGTGCCATCCTCCTCCGCCACGCAGTCGAACTGGCAGGGCCGCCGTCGGCAGGGGTCGTTGGCGGCGCAGGAGTGCCCGTCGGGGAGCAGCAGGTAGCCGGCGTGGCACTCGCAGGCGTAGCCCGAGCCCTCGTCCAGGCACAGCTGCTGGCACCCGCCGTTGTCGCCCTCGCACCAGCTGGCGGCCGAAGCCGAGGATGCCACCCCGCTGCCCCCCGACGGCCCTGCCCGGCACAGCGGCGGGCTCTTGGACCAACCCACGCGCCCGTCCTCCTTCTGCATACACAGCAAGGACAGCGAGGCGCCGCCGGGGCAGCCCACGGAGGCCACGGTCCCGAAGGGCACGAAGCGCGGGGGAGCCCCGACGGCGGCTGGAGCGGCCAGCCGGCCGAAGGGAGCCGCGTAGCTGATGCTGATGCCACCGCCGTCGTCGCCGCCTTCCTCTTCCAGCCCGGCGCACATCCCACGGAAGACGAAGCGGCAGAGGTAGCCGTCCACGGGCCCCGCGCAGGAGCCTTCCAGCCACTGGAAATCGCGGTCGTCCAAGGCCACGCAGCGCGGAGCGGCGCAGCCGGCGGCTCCCGGGGCCCCGACGGCTGCGCTGGCCCCGGCCCAGTTGCTGTAAGCCGTCTCCTGCTCGCCGGTGACCCAGCTGAAGCCGCGCAAGGGCCGCTGCGGGAAACACTGGCGGGGCTGGCGCTGGAGCCCGATCCAGAACAGACGGGGCGGTCCCGGCTGGCGGCGGCTGCCGGCTAGCAGCTGGCTGACTTGGGCCGCTTCTTCGGCTCGCTTCAGCGTGGCCAGGTTGCCCCCCAGCTCCCGGCAGGCGCGCCAGGCCTCCAGGAAGCTGCGCGGCTGCGGGTAGAGCGCGTAGCAGCCGTCGGGATCGCAGCTGGCTTCAGGATCGGGCTGCGCGGGCAGCGGGAAGAGAAGCAGCAGCAGCCCGGCCGGGCCGAGCGGCAGCCGTGGGGCTAACATGGTTGTGCTGCGCGGTGGGCCTCCGGCGCTCTGACAGACCCACCGCCCACCCACCCCCATCCTCAAGCACCATTCCCGGCCTTCTTTTCCCCCCGCCTCGTCCGGGGGAGGAGGAGGCTTTCCCCCGATCCCCGCCTTCGGACCTTGTAGGGCGAGGATTTGGACTCCTGCCACGCAGGGAGGGAAGGAGGGAAGGGGGAGGAAGGGGGCAGCCAGCCGGCGGTGGAGGGAGGGGAAGGGAAAGGCAAAGCAGGCAGGAGAAGAGAGGAGGGTCCGCCCGCTCCCCACACTCGGGGGTCGTGGGGGGGGGGGGGGGGGAGGGGGCGCAAAGCAGGCAGGAGAAGAGAGGAGGGTCCGCCCGCTCCCCACACTCGGGGGTCGTGGGGGGGGGGGATAGAGTGGAAGCGTCTGCCATGCTTTTTGTGGTGTAACCACTAGCCCGCACTGTCGCTGGATGCTAAAGGGGGCTTCCATCCTCTAATCCGTGTCCGTGGGATGCCAGGAGAACTTAAGGAGATAAAGTGGGGTGGGGGCTGCCCCAAAGAAGAGGGGAGGGTCGAGCTATTCTCCAAAGCACCAGAGGGCCGGATGAGGAAAGCCACGGATGGAAACGAACCAAGGAGAGAAGCAAGCTAGGGAGGAGGAGGAATTTCCTGACAGCGAGAAGAATTCATCTGCGGAACGGCTTGCCACTGGAAGTGAGGGGGGGCTTAAGCAAAGGAGGTTTTTAAGAAGAGACTGGACAGTCACTTGTCTGAAATGGTCTAGGGTCTCCTGCCTGAGCAGGGGGTTGGACTAGAAGACCTCCAAGGTCCCTTCCAGCTCTATTCTGATTGATTGATCTGATTGATTGATTGATTGATTGATTGATTGATTGATTGATTGATTGACTATGAGGACAATTAACCAGTGGAACAGCTTGCCTTCAAAAGTTGTGGGTGCTCCCATCACTGGAGGTTTTTAAGAAGAGACTGGACAGCCACTTGTCTGAAATGGTCTAGGGTCTCCTGCCTGAGCAGGGGGTTGGACTAGAAGACCTCCAAGGTCCCTTCCAGCTCTATTCTGATTGATTGATCTGATTGATTGATTGATTGATTGATTGATTGATTGATTGATTGACTATGAGGACAATTAACCAGTGGAACAGCTTGCCTTCAAAAGTTGTGGGTGCTCCCATCACTGGAGGTTTTTAAGAAGAGACTGGACAGCCACTTGTCTGAAATGGTCTAGGGTCTCCTGCCTGAGCAGGGGGTTGGACTAGAAGACCTCTAAAGTCCCTTCCATCTCTGTCCGTCCTTCCTTCCTTCCTTCCTTCCTTCCTTCCTTCCTTCCTTCCTTCCTTCCTTCCTTCCTT